CCTTTGTTCCCTGTTTAAGACACTCCCGAATTCCTTTTAAGGAATCAAGCACCTTGAGCTATGAACTTCATAGCGGCGTAACGCTCGTTGCAAGGCTGCAGGCCAAGTCTCAAGCCTACGACGAGGCTGGAACGGGGAGGGCTTCTGACTGCATTCATGCAGACTAGCGGCCCCAGATGTCAGCTGTTTTTTTTTTTTTTTTTTTTTTTTTTTTTTTTTTTTTTTTTTTTTTTTTTTTTCGATGGTTCCTTTCAGTTTTTCGAGCGATGATTTCGATCGGGTAAAAAAGGAGCTGACCTCAAGCTTTCGCAGGCGTCCGCAGAGGAAAGGCAACGAATGCTCCGCGAGGCCAGCTGTGGGGGAAAGATTCGAATGCTTCGAAACCGAGACCGGACGGCAGGGGCGAAGCCAGCGGGTGAGTTTGGGGGTCCTTTTAGACATCAAAGAGTGTCCTTTTCTCCCTCAGGGGGGGAGCTCTGGGCAACCGAGTCTTGGTGATGGCTCCCTGTTACACTGTTGCAACTGAAGATTAGCCCTAAATTCTGCGGGGGCTCAAGAACGCTCCAGCATAAAGGCTTTGACCACGGCGTAACACCGCCATATCGGGCATTTTCCTTCTCCCCACTTTACCCTCTCCGTTCATCTTTTTGCAATGCAGGCCCAACCAGGCTGCGAATCAGCTTGGGAAGTGCACTGGCCTTTTCGCGTTTTTGTTTGCCCCGTCACGAGTGAAGGTTCCCCCAATATAAACGGAGAACAACAGGAACCTCACTTTCCGTTGCTGAATTATCTATTATCTTTTGCCCAGTCTTCATTGCTTAGCCTAGAAACAGAGCGGCTGCAGCCGCAGCTTTCCGCGTTCTCGCGCTCGGAAAGAAGCGCGCAACAGCTCGAGTGAGCTCTGCAGGCAGAGGAGCGAGAGGACCATCACAAGATGGAGGATCCCCAGGGTGTGGACCTGGGGATATGATGGCAGGGTATGGTATTGTATGGGACCAGGAACCATTGCCGCCTTCTTTGATCCTATGTTTTTGCCTGTACCAGGGTTTTATGTTGAGTACCCTTTCCATTGACACACAGCGGTGGGACCGTTGACCGTTGTTCAGTTTGTTCCCTGGAGGTTGGGGATCGGGGGTGACTCATGGATCAAGGTGCGCGCCCGCGGGCGAATCCGTTTGACATGCTGGCTTGCTTTGTCCAACGGGAGCGTTGGTGTAGGCGCACCTGAAGGATTGCCAGTTGATAGGTTTTTACTGGTTCGGTCCTGCTCAAAACGCAACCCCTGCAAACACATTTAGATGTTTCAAATTCAGTGGTAGTTGTTGAAGAGGAAAGTTGGCACAGGAACAAGCTTACTAAAGTGACAGGTCAATGGGCAGCTGATCAATGGAAAGCCACTAGTAATGCCAAAGTGGGCCCCAGATAGCGAGAGTGGTTTGCTCTCAAAGCAGAGACGCTTGACAACAATGAATGTGAATGCAATAGGCGGAAACAAGATGCATAGCGCAATGCGACACCCTCCGGACCTGCAACGCCTGTCAAAATGTTTCACCATGCTCTCCAGTGCCCTCAAACGCGCTCGCAACAGCCCCTGCAACAGCACCGTGATGGGTCACATTCTCTAGCAGCACCCTGTAAACAGCACCCAACAACACGCCGTGCACAGCCCTCAGTCCTCCCGAAACAGCACTCCGCAAGAGCGCCCTGCAACATGTATCCATGATTCATGGCTCATGATGGCATTCCTAAGCCAAGCGAAGATGACAAGCCTACATGGCCGTGGGTCAAAACCAATGCCATTTGGTGTATTTTAGTGGGGGTTGGGATGTTCACTGGGGGTACGGGATGTTGACGCATGGCCACGTGTTGTTTGCATCCGTAGGCTCAAGGAGGTGTGTGCGCGTAGCTTCCTCCATGGTTGCCACAGAGCTGGAGTTTCAGCAGACGGGTGGTCGGTGCAAGCTGGTGACAGAGGATGACTTCGTGAGCTGCCCCTCGTCGCGAGTTTTGCATTCTCAGAGGTGTTTTCAACTGGGTATGGGTCAAAATTAAACCACCAGGGGACCGCAGGTTTTAGTCCATGTTTGTTCCATTTTGGGTACCTATTTTTGATGAATTGGTGCCCTTGTTTCCCCTGGTTTCCGGGGATTTGGGTCCAAGTTACACCCGATTTGCATGCGATAGGAGGGGCCCTATTTACAAGCTCCCCTGAACGACAACATGGGACGGACGAGCGTTCTATTGCAGTGCGCCCATTTTGTAGAGTTCCACTATTTGGCGTTACGGCGATGCAGTTCGCTTACCAAAAATCGCCGGAATGTCGCTGCTCATTTGGTTCCATGCCCAAGCAGGGGTTCCTTTCTAGTTGGGTCCTCAAGTAAAGGGTCCTTGATTTTGTTCAACGTTTTGGCATTGTGTGCTTGCTTTTCCGTACAACCGCTTTTGGCTTCCTGTTGCTTCCTTTGGGTTCTACCTACTTTTTACCTATAGTTTAGGCCAAGCATGACAACCTTCTTTGCTCGTTTGGTTTCCGCTTTTAGCTTCCTGGCTGTGAAGTGGCTCCATAGCCCAAATGGTCACTTCACATTTGGCCATGGGTCAAAATCCCGTACACCTAGCGAACATCCCAATCCCCACTAAAATAGGTTCTAAAATGGGTGGTGCACCTACCCCAAAATGGGATCCCATTGGTTTTGACCCACTGCCAGTTGGCAGTTTGGGGGCTTTTGGCAGGCTCGCAAGAGCAAGTGCTCGCCACCGCCGCGAAGCGGCAACTCAAGTTGCTGAGGGCGAAGTGGCGACTCGGCCGGTGGCGGAGGGAGGGGGGGTGGCTTCGTGTGGGGGGGGGTGCCTTGGACACCTAGAGTCTATTTTGCAACCATACCCAAAAAACAATACCCTAAAATAAGGAGGTGGCAAGATATGAGGGTGGTGGTGGCAGGGAGGTTGGTGTTTACCACGCCGCCTACAAAATTTAGAACTCTCGGAGTTTCCGGGCACCCTCCTTCCAATCATGGAAGCTGACAGGGTCTTGGAAAGACTACTTTCCTTTTGGAGGGGGTGGGCCGCATGTCCACTTCCATGATTGCCGGAAAGAGGGTAGCCAAGTTGCTTGTTTCCAGAGAGGTTGCGCTAGCAGTGACAGAGGCCAAAACGGGCGATCCGCAAAAATGTCCCCTTAAACATCACGCGTATCGAAGCAACTACGCTCCACACAGGCCTCAGAGGTGATGTTTAAAACTGCAAAAGCTACCAACGAAGGCCCGGCGTCTAGGCGCAAGGCCTTGTGAACCTCAATGGATCCAGTGGCACCCACACAGGGCAGGTTGGGTCGCTGTGAGAGAGACGCAACTCTTTGCCGGGCGAGCCAGAGCACGAGGCATCCTGAGAGGGCTGGGCACTCCAGTGGAAGGTGGCGTCAGCAAAATCAAGCCTCGACCAATCCGCGAGGGGGGTGCAGCAGTATTGCCGCTCTGTGACATGAAGATTAGGAGGAGACCTGGTCCTTGTCACTACATGCAAATCAAAGCTGACCCTACCCCAAGGGGTTTTTGTTGAGGTGGACAAGAGAAGGACCGTGGCTGAAAAGCTGAAGTGACTGAAGTGGAACCACGCTGTCTAGAAACTCAAGCTGGGCTCGCACTGGTACCAGCTGTGTCTTCCTGGCAGCACCGTCTCGCCTGCAACGGCGCTCCAGTTGCTTTGCGCTGGAAGTGCGACTACTTCAATTTACTCCCGGAGTACTTTCCGGAAGAGAACTGCACTTGTGTGGATCTGCTGAATGTTTACCAACTGCTTCCGCACCTGACTGCAACCTCCGACCAGATTGCACTACGTCACCGCAGAGCCGTTTTCCCGAGAAGAGCAAGGCACACTGACTGCTTGAGTTTGCTGGCCGCGTCGCAACTGCTCCATTTGCATCTCATCGCAGCGCGGTGGGTGTCGAGTCAAAACTGAAGCATCTTCCCGGGTCTGCTTAAAGGGGTCAAAAGGCTTGAAGGCATAGGTGTCCTTTTGAGGTTAGTTTGGTTAAAATAGATGGCCCTGGTTTAGATGGGGTTTATTCTTTACCAGGGCCATCTATTTTTCCAAAAGGCCACCTATGCTTGAAGCCATCGTCTCAACCTAAAAAGAGGTCACCCATGAACGAACGGGACTGCCATGGCTGCACTCCATGCCCCCGCAGGTGTCTGACATAGGCCGAGCTCTCCTGAGCTGTTGACCCACAGGTGAAAGTACGGGATTCTCCTGACGGCCGAGAGGTTGTGCGACCAGATTTTGGGTTCATGTTTAAACAGCGGACGTCTTCAACAAGCACAGCACAGGGTCCTTGTCGCCTTTTGGGTCTTCCTCCAGTTTTGATTAGGTTCTGCCAGTTCTGATTGGCTGCCTTGGAAGTTGTTTCCTCTCTGCTGAGAGATTGAACGGAATCCAATACAATCGCCCAATCTGAACAGTGGCCTTTGTACTTTCCTTGTTGCAGGCAGCCCAGCTGGTAATATGGGTGAGTTACATGCGGAGAAGCCTGGATCTAAGTGAAGCCGCAATGTCGCATCCCTTGTTCCTTTCTGTCCCTAAAATATCCTTTGGTAGCTTGTGATGACATACCTTGACCATTCTTGACACCACTTGTGGCCCCTACAGATCCCGTTTGGGGCCCCTTTGCGACGCTGCATTTTGGTTTGCATTGACCAAGATCCGCCATTTCTTGGTTGGGTTTACTTGCTGGTGCTCAGTAGGGAATGAGGACTGAACCCAGATGTCCCCTTAAAGGAAACAAGGGATGGTTTTCTCGGGGTCCTTTCACTTCTCATTCCCTGCATCTTTCGCACCAAGTTGTCCAAAGCGAATCGACATTTTGATCTTCTCTTTCCGATGTCAAGCACGTTTCGTCATGGCAATCGATAACTTCTTGGCGTTTTCCGATTTTGCTCACCACTTTGGTCGTGGCCAGACGACTCGTTTCTCGGTTTCTCGGTGTCGAATTCGTCAAGTCCTAGGCGAGCGCACCAGGAGGACTTGCGCACCCGGGAGCTCCAGGAGACGAGATTCCATGGGCTCATGGCGTGTTGCTACCATTCAATAGCAACCAAATTTCAAGTAGCCACAACAAGAAAGAACACCTTCGAAATATGTTGGGATCTTCTTTGTGTCCTTTTTGTTTAAAGGGACACCACAATGGAATGCACCATTTTCAGGGTTCCCTCATTTTGAGACTCCATACACCGCAAACAATGGGTTTTCTGGGTGCCTCTTTGAGGAAATCCACACCCGACCGGCAAATTGGTACTTGGACTTCTGGGTAGACAAATACTTCCCCGTGCCACCGGGTGTATAGTTTGGTTGAACGTGGCTTCTTGATGAGCGACACTGTGCGAGCTGCGTCCAGTCCACTACTGGCATTTTGCACTGGCCAAGAACGAGCCCAAAATCGAGCCCATTCTTTGGACCCTTCATTTTGTGACACCTTTTCAACCGTCCGAAGAAGGGAGCGTCACGGAAGAAGTGGCAGGAGAAGGTGGCACAGTGGCTGCGGGAGCGACAATTTGTGGATGCTCGTTTGCAACCAAGGCATACCGACGACCAAGCACATCTTGCTCTTTGTTTGTATTTGTTTGTATGTGCTATTAGTGGTGTTTCAGCCAGTCTCGGTTGAGACCCTCAAACACGTCTTCGCAACCTTTCAATATGGGTGATTTCCACATGTTTAAGGTCTTTTGGAGGGTACTTTTAGACCCTTTGATGTTGACTTCGAATGTTTGTGGGTTACACAGGTTGCAGTAGCCTGTATTTCCAGCTGTATAAGCGTTTTCGAAAATTGGTTGGGTCTCTCTAGGTTGGCTTTCCTTTTCTAAAAAAAAGTCAGCTCCAACAGGTTGGGCTCTTCCCAATTCAGTGAGGAACTCCCTTTTGGACTCTGGAAATTCCACCGGAAGCCACACGAATTTCGGCCGTGAGGATGTGAACACGCCGAAGGTCACATGCTTCGGCCTCAGGCGCACCTCCCCTTTGGTGCAGGCGGCCAGGGATCGGGATGTGGCCATGGTGGTGTTGCTGGTTTCCTCCGGAGCCGATCCCGCGCAGAAGGAGCGAGCATCGGAGCAACCGAAAAAAAAATGCCTGGAAAATCGCGGTGGACATCTGCTTGGGGATGGGAAGACGACTTTTTTTTTTTCCGGGGGGAAATGGCTTGGAACTTGAGTTCAGCCGGGGAATTGGAAGAGACACGGGGACAATGCGGGCAAGCCGAACCAAAACCAATTTTAAGCAGCTTTCCACCCTGAGCACATCTTTCCAAGACTTTAACTATCCCATACCCCAGAAAGGAAAATGGAGATTTGCAACCCTTACGGGCATGTATTTTATTCTCGGTGGAATGGAAGTGCAAGGCGCTTTGCAACCTCGCCGTAGGTGTTTTGGGAGCCTTACTGTGACTTTTTGCTGCTCATGCAGGCAAGGTGAGCTATCTCTGTGTTCTCTTGAGATTCGCCTATGGGGTCTTTTACTTAGACCGCCCCACTCGTTTGAAGGTTTGAAGTAGGCTGCTCGGCGACTGAAGCAAGAAGCAGAACCGACAAGCAACACAGAGTCTGGGCAGCCTCACACAACAAGCTGTTTTGAGTTCCCTTGTGTGTTCCAATGTTTTTTAGTTATAATTGGACCCTTGTGTTCCCTTGTGATTTGTTCCCTCGTGTATTTTGTTTTGGGGGTTTTGTTCCCTTGTGTTCCCTTTGGGTCCCCTGAGTTCGCTTTGGCCGCAGGACCCTTTGGGCTACACCGTGTTCGATTACCTGAAGTCCCAAGCCCTGCGGCAGCAGATCCGCCGGCTGCGCTCGAAGATTGTCCAGGCGCGACCAGATCCGTTGCCCGAATTTCCTGGTGCCAGTTCCTAGGTCCCGTGCCAACTTTTACCGTTTCTTTTTTTGGGGAGGGTTCCCCTAAAATAGACTACAGAGAAAGGGTACCCTTATTCTAACCTCTCTACTGGAGGACCTAGGTTCAAGTACCCGTTGAGGATGGGTGGTAGCTGGTTAAATTTGGGTCAAGTACCTACTTATCATGCACTTTTGCCCGAAGGAAAGAGTTTTTGGAGTTTCCTTCTTGATTGGTCTCCCCTTCAAGAGCCAACCTAAACAAATCTATGCCCTGGTTGGTTCTTCGATTGACCATATATCAGACCACTGCAGAGCTGGGAATTCCTTTTTTGGTGGGTCCTTTCTTATGAAGCTTGCTGAAAACCAGAATATGGAGTTCGCTTCAAGGTCTCACGACGAGCGGTTGCTGCTTTATGCTTTGCCTGTCTTGGGAAGCTGGTGACCTACATGTTCATTGCTGCCTTGATTCATGTCCATGAGCCGAACAATTCGGCAAGGCCAACCCTCTTTGGTAGCTTTTGTTGTGCTTTATTAAGGCCGCACCTCTGTCGAACAGAGGGAGGCCAACCCTTTTGGCCGGATTTGGTTGTCTCCAGGTTTGTTTGGGCACACATGAACGTTCAACCGACAAGCAAAAGGCATCTTTGTTTAATCCTTGTATTTGTGTCTGGTATGCTTTCTGTGATGTCAACCAACAAAGCAAGGCCATGTTGTTTGGTCTTTGGTGTTCGTCAGTTGTCGGAAAGTTCTCTTTAACCGTACAGGTTGGCCAACCCTGCACTGTTTTGTCGGAGTGTGCTTTGTTTGGCAGGCATCCCTTTAAGTTGAGCCAGCCAAAAAAAACTGACTTTGGTTTGTTTCTCTCTGTGAGTTAACGACTCTACCCTCTCTACAACTGTTTGCAACAAGTTGTATCTTACGTTCTCGTCTTGTCCACTGACATGCAAACCCACAAGAGGGTCCCTTTTAAGGAAACTCCCTCAGTGACAGGTTGGTTGGCGAAGCAAGATTCTGTAGGAGCCCCCTTGGTGGGCGCATCTTTGGCTCACGGTTTGCTCCGCAGGACGCGATTGCGCACAAGTTTGGCACAGTGTGAAGTCTCGCCATCTTCGCTGGCCGAGTTTGAAAAGACCAGCACACGGCAAGAAGCCTGGTATTTGCATTTGCTTGAGATGTGTGATCTTGTTGATTTAACAGATATATTGTCACGGCGCGTATGGATGTATTTGTCCCTGGCACCTTCAACAACAAAAGTGGAGGTTGTGGACAGATGATTCGGCGCTGTCAGAAAGACACGCGTGATGCGTGCCAACTGATGCTGATGACTCCTCGCCCATGATTTAGAGGAGTCTTTTTTGCGGCATCGCGCACATGCCGCGCAACTTATTTGAACAGGCTGGCTGCTACAAAAGTGATTGCCATTTATGCAGTTTATTACAACCGCGCCTTTTGCGTTGATGAACTATTATTTTCCCAGATATTTTGTTCTTCCCGTTAAATGAGCTACAAGAGGAGGATGTTGTTCATCGTTGAGCTTTCAGACCCATTTTGTGGCACCCAGAAGGACGCCCGACGGCAAGGTGTGAGCGACTGTCACTTCACCGTTCGTGCGGGTTCCATGCCGTTTGAGCAACTGGTCAACATTCAAAGCGGGGAACTCATCAGGCTGGTCTGAACAAGTGGAATATTTCCCATGGCTCGTATGCACTCCCGAGTATAGGGCAGTTACTCAGCACATAGGTTCGATGGTTACGCGGTGAAGACCGATGGTCGTCCGATCTCTTCCATTTGATGGAGAGTAGAGAGACGAGACCCAGGATAGCCAGAGAGGCCCCCAGCATCTTGCCAAAGTTGCCAAGCCCAGAACTGCACGGTCCCCTCTGGGGAAGTCCGAACTTGAGTTGCCTAGCATCTATATTGCTTGGCAACGTGCTTGAACTATTTAACTGCTTGCGTGGAGGCCGAAAGGATGAAACGGTCCTTTTTGCTTGAGCTCAGAGAGCCCCCACTTGGCCCTGTCAGAACTGCCAAGCAGCGCCTCGGATTGTTGTGCGCCTGGTCTAACATGGCCTATCCGTGAGTCCATATGGTGGATTTCTGGCTTGCTGGCTTCTTTTAGTCTCCTTGAGAAACAAAGGAGAAACATGGCTCCATGGCGAGTCTATAGATATCAGGGACTGCTCCAGAAGGGGCAACAACCTTGCTGCAGTCTTCAAGACCCTTACGGTTGTTGATTTTCAGGGGCATAATTCCCAGTTCTTAGTCAAGACTGCCACGGGCGGATGTGTATTTGTTCATTTTGTCGTCACACCCCGGAAAGGTCCAAAGAGGACTCCAGGTTGAAACTCGGATTGCTCGAATTGTCGATTGGATCACACGACATCCTGGGATGAAGTTGCCCTTGCAAAATGAAAGCTTGCCTCTTTCCCGGCATTCGAACGAGCGGTTTGTACTTGCCGCACGGTGCGAATGGTACCATGAGGCAGGGCCGCCTCCAGAAAGGTGCGAAGGAGCCCTTCCAAGAACCCCTAAGATGGTTTTATGCCCCTTTCCTGCGCGGGTGGGGACAATATTCCACAGAAACAGGTTGTTTTGCGGCTGAAGTTCCCAGCATGGTTTTACTTGAGAAAACTATGAAAGGAACAAGACCGCATGCGTTTACTTTATGGAATCTTTGCAAGACAGGCTATCACATGTGAGTCAACCTCAGAATTATCAAAGACCACTTTATCAACGGCGTTTCATTCAATACTGGTTTTTTGCATTTTCCTTGGAGAACGATAGGGGACTCACAAAAAACGATACCCCTGAACATGGTTTGTGCTGGACCTTCGAGCTGGAGCTGCCGAAGTCTAACTTGTGTACCGTGCCTGTACTGAAAGCTGCGACTTGCGACCTGGAGGTTGCTGCCAGCAAGCAAAAGCCGCTTAGACTGACACGTGACCGCCGCAAGCTGCGACCTTCGAGCTGGAGCTGCCGAAGTGTAACTTGTGCACTGCGCTTGTGGTGAAAGTTGCGACTTGCGACCTTGAGGTTGCTGCCAGCAAGCAAGCCGCCAAGACTGATATATGATTACCGCAAGGCAGAGAAGGCTATTGTGTGTTTGCTTGGCTCTAACAGCTTATGGAAAATTGTGAAAATTTTCGTCACGCGACACACGCCCAGAACGATACCCCGGTCGATACCCCGTCGATACCCCGAGCATTGGCCCGAGTTGCAAATGTGAGGCCTAGTGCATTTGCTTACATTGTACTGAGCTGAAGCTGCCAGAGTGCACATTGTGTACCACCCTTGTCAAAATAGAACTGAAAGTTGCTGTTGAGGTGCACTTTGTGCACGGTCTTTGCACTGAAATGCCGAGCTGGAGCTGCCAAAGCGTACTTTGTGTGGTACACTTGTACTCAAACTTGGAGCTGCCAATATGCTACTTGGTGTGCTGCACTTGTACGGAAGGCTCGTGATATTCGAGCGCAAGCCGCAACATTGCACTTCCTTTGGCACACTTGTGCCGAAAAGTTGCGACACTCCGCCTTGAGCTGCCAAATTGTACTTGGGCTACGCTTGTCATGCTACGTTGCGATTGTGGAAGCAGCCTTGGCAGCTTGGAAAATTATTTCTGAATCAGGTCTGGCAGGCTTTGGGTGCGTAGGCGATATTGTAATTTCTGACCGCAGTGCCAACCGTCCCACCACGCCAGCTTTGGCTCAAGTGTTTGAAAGAAGTTGGTTAGTTGAGCTTTCGCTTGGGGTACAGGAGTGACCTGTATGGCTGGAACTCACGTTGGCATGTTTGCTGCGCCCCAATCCTCGCTCCAGCATGGATGCAGCGCTGAGCAGGCTCACTTGTGAGTAGGAGTGCCAAGCAAGGCAAGCGCAGACGCAATGCTGAGTGATCTCATGATCTCACTTCCGCGGGCGACAATTCGCAGGCGTGGGTACAGGCCTGAGGGGGCGCACTTGATCTTGGCAGGCGTGAGTATACAGCCCTGAGCAGACGATGATTTGGCAGGCGCGCAAATTTGCTGCAATGGCACTTGAACCAAATTGGCTGGTTGAAGTTTTGCCCTCCCGGCTCATCCTCGGCGATCCCCTCAGCGTTGGAGCATGCGTCGTGCCTGCCACTGCCGTCCGGTCTCTGCGTAGGTGGCATTTTTGTGCAGGAGCGACGCTGCGCAGCCACACAGGAGTGACTCTGCGTGGTGCATCCCGCTGGGGCAGTAGAGTGCTGCCCGGTCAGTTTGGCGTAACCAACGCATCATCCTGTTAGTGATGTACAGGTGGCAAACTCGCGATGCGAATCGCGCAGCAACGGCTGAAGAAGAACAGAGGGAGACGTTTGCTGTGTCAGTCGGTCATGAAAGGCTAGAAATGAAGACTTGTAAGATATCAAGAAGGCCAGCTGAAACAACGCGAGCCCATAGCAAGAAGATGAAGGGTTCAGAGAGATTTTGCGTGCGCGCTGCTCCCCGCATCCTCGTGGCTTGGCAAAGCCGGAGCTGCCAGACGCGGACAATGTGTAGTGCACTCGTATTGAAAAATTGCGATGTTGGAGCTGGGGCTGCCAAAGTGTACCTCGCGCGCTACGCTTGCGCTGAAAAAAGTGTGGGCTGCATTTGTACTGAACGCTGCGAATTTTGGTGTGGAGCTGGGTGTCTCACACTTGCCCTGGAAAGTTGTGATTTTCGAGCGCAAGCTGCCAAAGCGGACTTCGAGTACCGGGCTAGTACTGGAAAGTTCCAGTTAGTGGGCAAGTTTTACTTCGCGTGCTGCACTTTCATGTACATGCTGGCGGCCGCCACAAACACGTCCAAACGATGAAAGCAAACTCGATAACAGCTTTTGGGATAAGCGTGCATGGGCTTGTAAATCCTAGAATAGCGTGTGCTTCGCTCAGCTGGCAAGAGGGCGCAGCCTTGCTCAAACTGTTGCTTGTCCAGAGCGGATGGACAGCTGTGATTTAGCGGGAAGAGGAGGCTTTGCAACTCGTATCCAGGGCAGTTGATATTCAAAACCGAAAGATGCTGGCTGACTGCTCTCTTGTCCTTCGGAATTGAAATGGCGTGAACCCTCTTGAGCGGCTTGCTTTGGCATCCGCGCATCGCTCAAAAGCTAGGGAGTCAACTTTTTGATGCATGAGCCCCCTCGCAAAGGCTGGCCGGCACCTTGTTTGAAGCCGCGCCTTTGACCACTTGACACGCCAGCATGAATGGAGAAATGAAGCCCTCGGAGAACTTGCGCAACGGACAATGTTATTGGTCGATGCCCATTTCATGTAGGCGGGCAGGAGGTCCACACTGTTTCCTGCTACACCTGCGGAAGCCCATAAGATTTGTCAATGTCCTTTCAGGACATGATGTCAATGGTTCGAATTCTGCTACTAGGTACTCACTGGGCTTGCAAAAGTAGCGTTTAGCATTCTGTCGGAAGCTGTGGGAGCCTATTAGTGTTGGGGGCGTCCCGCACACTTCAACAGGGGAAGGCAGACCGTCACAATGTCGCGCCCCGAGGAAACCAATGAACTGGCTTGTTGGACGAGAGTGCTGAGGTGAGTCGATTGGTCAGTCCTTAAATGTTCTACACGTGCCACTTCGGAGGTTCCAAAACGGAGGGTTGATAAGAGGAGGAGGTGTCCTTTTGGGGACCTTTCGTCTGCTGCCTGAATACCCCGAATTGAAGTCTATTTGTGTATCTGTCAAAGTAAGTGACTCAACAAGGGGCTGGATGAATGGTGCTTTGCATAGCCCTGTATTTGCTTCTTAGTGTTGCGGCAACGTGGGTGTCTGCCTCAATGTTTCTTTGCATGCATGTGTGTGTGAGCATTGCGTTCTGCACAAATGCACGTGCAGACACAGATGTTTGATTGAGTGCGCGCTATGCCCGTACTTTTGCATGCGACTGTTTGCTTTGATTCTGTAGCACCGTAGCCAAGGCGGCCACATGCTGGAGCAACATAGCTCACAATCTCCAGGACCCTTTAATCGTAATATACCCAGATTTCAGGGGGCATGCCCCCATGTTAAAATTAGAGACTCCAGGCAGAAACAAGCGAATGTGATTTTGTGTTTGTGCGTTCCCAAGCAGCTTTGTGGCATCAACT